ACTTGAGAGTGGGAGAAATCTGATCTGTTCTTGATGCAGAAAACTATTGTGTTATTTCTCTCCTGGAAAGGAGGAGGATGGAGAAGAGAGAGGAAGAAATGAAAGCAAAAGTAAGAAAGAAGGAAGGAAGAGTCAAGAAAATATAGAGAAACTAAGGAGAATTGAGGGGATAGGGAAATTTCATAGTGATAGGTAAGAAAGCTGACAGATATTTGAAGAAAAGAGATGTTTGAAGTTCTTAATAAAAGCTGTTTGTTTTAAAGTATAAACCTCTCTCCATCTCCATTATGAAAGCGTGTATAGGATGTGATTAAATGTGTTGTGTGTGTGTGTGTGTGCGTGTGTACACACCAAAAGTTTCATGCCTAGATCAGACACAACAGGGACAGCAGGAACAGAGAGGGGAAATGAAGGAGGCCATGAGATGGAAGGCACCTAGGAATCAGAACAGTCTTTGTAAGGACATTGGACTTGTATGGACTGTGGAATTGGAGGTCAAGGCAATTTCATTCATATCTGGATGATAACTGGGTCTCCAACTATCATCTTAGTTATCAGGTGGGTCTGCTGCATAAGGCCAGACACATACCTTTGACTTTGACATCCCCCACTTCCCTCACTCTACTCATCCTTTATGTCTAATCTTCCTACTCATTAGGTCTGGCTCCTCTTTCTGAATTACCTCTTATCTTTGGAGGTTGGGAGTCAGAAAGTGATATTCTCCAGGCTAAGTAGAAAATTGTGTTCCAAGTATCTGTAAGCAAGAATGAGCAGGCTTTTATTAGAATTTCTTTTGTGGGATTTCAAAACCCACTGTGGGATATTTCCACCACAAATCACTATACTGAATATGAGGTTGAGTCAAAAGGAGCACCATGATTGCACAACAGCATCTCTAGAAGACATGACTATGACACATTAAAGATGACTATAATTTTTTTTGCACTCTTATCAGGAGATAATATCTATTTCCTCTTTCCTTGAGTCTGAGCTGGCTCTGTAACTGATTTTAATCCATAAAACATAGAAGGGTTTCTGTGAAACATCTGAGGCTGGTCTTTAGAGATTGGCAGCTCCCTCTTAAACTATTTCCCCTTGGGATCCAGTAGCTCCCTGAGTTACTACAGCTTCCTACTGTAGCTTTCAAATCTCCCCGAGACCATAATGCTGCAAGTAACCTCAAGTTAATTACTTGGTGGGAGACAGAGAGAGAGAGAGAGAGAGAGAGAGAGAGAGAGAGAGAGATGCATTGGGACACCATACATGGGTTAAGACTTCTCGGACTATTAGCCTAGCCCATTCACCAACTGAATGCAGCCAAATGAATGATCTCAGTCAACACTACCTAAAGCTGAAGAACCACCCAGCTGAGCCTTGTTCAAAATGTTGACCCATGGAATTATGAATAAATAAAATGTTTGTTGGTTAAGTCACTAAGTTTTGTGGCAATTTTTATGATGACATATGAAGGTGAAAGGACTAGACCACATGATTCTAAAAGAGATATTTTCAATGCTTCTACTGATATTTGGTCAATGCCATACCTAACCAAAGGTATGCTGGACTTTACGTGACACAGACTCTGTTACCTCTATGATAACTCCACAATTTTTAGCAAAAATTAGCTGTTACAATACAAAGAGTTAAAAGTAATTGTATCAAGACTTACTATAAATCTATAGTATTCACGAAAATGTGGTATTGGCAAAATAGATCAATGGAGTAGAACAGAGAGCCCAGAAATAAACTCACATAAATATAGTCAACTGATCTTTAACAAAGAAGTAAAAGCAATATAAGGGAGCAAAGATAGTCAATTGGACAAGTGTCACTGGAGCAACTGGATATTCACATGCAAAAAAAAAAAGAAGAAATTTACATACAGATCTAATACTCTTCACAACAATTTACTGAAAATGTATCATGGATCTAAATGTAAAATACAAAACTATAAAACTCCCATAATAAAATACAGGAGAAAGCCCACATGATGACATTAGATACAACAACAAAGCATGATCTTTGAAAAAAGTAATTGATAAGCTGGACTTTATTAAAATTAAATATTTCTCCTCTGCAAAAGACAGTATCAAGAAAATGAGAAGATCAGCAACAGACTGGGATTAAATATTTGCAAAAAAACACACCAGATAAAGATATGTTATGCAAAATATACAAAGAACTGTTAAAACTCAACCTTAAGAAAACAAGTAGCCTGAGTAATAAATGGGCCAAACATGTTAACAGACACTTCAACAAAGAAGACATACAAATGACAAATAAAAATAAGAAAAGATGCTCCCTATCATATGTCATCAGGGAAATGCAAATTAAAACAAAATGACATACCACTACACACCTATTAGAATGACCAAAATTTGGAACGCTGACAACACTAAACTCTAGCAAGAACGTGGAGCAAAGGGAACTCTCATTCATTGCTGGTGGGAATGCAGAATGGTACAGGCACATTGCAAGACAGTTTGGCAGTCCCTTACAAAGCTAAACATACCCTTACCATATGATTCCAGCACTCACACTCCTTGGTACTTACCCAAAGGAGTTGAAAACTTATGTGCACACAAAAACTTGCATGTGGATGTTTATACCAGCTTTATTCACAGTTGCCAAAACTTGAACGCAACCAGGATGTCTTTCAGCAGGTGAATGGATAAATAAACTGTGGAACGTTCAGACAATGTAATATTGATTAGTGCTAAGAGAAGCGACCTAACAGGTCATGAGAAGACATGGAGGAACTTTAAATGCATATTACTAAGTGCATGAAGCCAGCCTGAAAGGCCAACATACTGCATGATTCCAACTATATGACATTCTGGAAAAGGCAAAACCATATAGACAGTAAAAAGAGCAGTTTCCAGGGGGTTGAAAAGCTGAGCACAGAGGATTTTCAGGCCAGTGAAACTACTCAGTATGATACTATAATGGTAGATACATATCACCACATATTTGTCTAAACCCAAAGAATGCACAACACCAAGAGTGAACCCTGGTGTGAAGTATGAACTTGGGATGATTATGATGTCAGTATAGGTTCACCAACTGTAACCAATCTGCCACTCTGGTGGGGCATGTTAATCATGGGAAAGGGCTGTGCATGTGTCAGGGCTAGTGGGTACATGAGAAATCTCTACACCTTCCTCTCAATTTGCTGTGAACCTAGAACTGCTCTAAAAAATAAACTCTTAAAAACGACGAAGAGCAAGAAAATAGTAATTGTAGTCAAAACCACAGTCCCGATATTAAAAAGTTATGTTACAAAGTGGAAACAACAATGAATACTAATGTAGTTTCTATGGTTCATTCAGCACATTTTCACTTAATTTTTATGACAATTCTCTGAGATCGATGTTCTCTTAGTTTCACAGATGGGGAAACTAATTCTAGAGGGTCACATAGAAGTAAACTGTATTCAAATCTGTGTATTCTGCCTGTATATTGCTACTTCCTAAGTAAGTTTGGAATCAGTCAAGGCAAGTCTTGAAATATCTCCCTATTAGTAATTTAACAGTTGTCGAACATGGAATGACAGGAACTAGGCAAATCTCTCTCAGCACTTCACTAAAGCATATCCCCTAATCTGTGCTTTTGTGATCTGACTAGTTGCTTGAGCGAGAAGTGGCAAAGGTAAAATTGAATCCTTGAACCAAACTAAGTAAATGCAGAACTACTGTCAGTATCTAGATTGTCTGGAAATCCGTGTTCCAAATAACTGGCTCAAAAATTTGCAGCAGAGGTTTATGATGGAGTTAGTTCTTTAAAAAGAAGCCAGTCATAATCAGCAAGATCATCTTCTGACCTTGTAAAGTAATTATAAATTCTTAACTAAGGCTTCTTAGTTACTTTCCATGTTAGAGAAAAATATATCTTTTCTTGGATCATGCCCAATAATGTGGCATGTGCTACTCTACTTTATTTTCTTTTTTAGTATTATGATCAATTTCAGATCAAAATATCTTCCATATCTAAAACCTTGGAATGAACGATTTCTAAGTACATTGCTTGTAGTGTGACCTAGATAATGTGATGACAGCCCTTTGGAACAACGTCAAGACTGCTCTGTACGTGTGCCCTCTAGGAGCTGGCATCTCAAAATGACAGACTGAATTACACACCCAGTTTTTCCTGTATTATTACATACCCGAACATCTCCTAAACCCACTTTAAAACATGGACAAATCTGAGATGCTTCCCGGTTGATTATACAATTCAACCTGGAAAGATGGGCCACAGAAGTATTCTTAGATCAAAGCTCTACATGAAGGAGGCACAAGGAATGGTACTTGAGAAGTAAAGGTAACTCGAGCCATCATGTGCAGTTGATATGAAGATAAGTGGCAATTATTATAAATACTGGCCACACAATTCAGCCTTCCCAGTGTGCAACATAGAAGGGATATTGGCTTGTGATTATCAACTATTTTAAAAGCATATCCACAAAGGGAGCTGTGAAACTTCTTCACCCTAATTAATGATACCAGTATTTCTACACAGATTGGTTCTGAAAATTGTCATTTTAAAGAAAGTTAACTTTAATGGGTTTTAATAACTGCAATATAATGTCTGTATCCAAATTTGTTTATCTGGACTCTTATCATTTGCACATTTAGCATGTTTTCATGTTTTTTTTTCTTTTCTGTTAAAAATAAGGTTGTGCTCAAATTTATAAATAAGTCCTTTTATCTATACAAGATTTCCTTAGTGGAAATTTCTAGAATTAGAATGGCTGGGTAAAAGTGTTAGGCATTTGAAATGCATTGTTATATAGAGTATCTGTTTATGAAGTGTCTGAAATTGTTTAGGATAGTCATTTTCTGCCATATTGGTTAAACTTACCTTAAAGTGAAAACAATCCATATTGCCCTCAGTATTTAAGGGTGTGATTATGGGAAGACACTCAGATAAAAGACGGCTGGCCTCCTAGAACTTATAATAGAAATGGAAGTAAGATCTCTATGATGACATTTATTGAATCTTAGGGAGATCAGGATTAAGTGTCATATAGCTGTGCTCCCCAACCCCTTGTGCTGCGGACTGGTATTGGTTGCACGGCAGGAAGGGAGCAGCCAGTGAGCTAGAGAGCAGCTTCATCTCCATCTACAGCCGCTCCCGTTGCTGGCATCACCACCTGAGCTCTGCCTCCTGTCACATCAGCAGCAGCATCAGATTCTGCATAATGGTGAGTTGTATAATTATTTCGTTGTACATTGCAATAGCATAATAATAGAAATGAAGTGCACACTCGAATCATCCTGAAACCATTCTCCCCATCCCCCACCTTCCCCTGTCAGTGGAAAAAAAACTGTCCTCTGTGAAACCGGTCCCCGGTGCCAAAAAGGTTGGGGACCACTGTCGCATAGCACTTCCTGATGCAAACAAATCTGAGTCAGGGTTGGAACAGGGCTCCGATAGTATTAAGGCACCAATAAATATTTAATTTTAACGTTCCATCTCAGTGCCAAATATTGCACCTGGAAATAATGTCTGACTGGATTTGGAGCAAAGGATGAATGAACACTGGCTATGGAAGATTGATTTATTTAAACCATTCTTTTGTGCTGCTCTTCTGAATCCATTCTATACTGTAGTTCTTTATTTTGGATTTTGAATTGTTTTCTGTTTTTACCCTACCTTTAGAATCTCCCATGGCTTTCCATTCCATCTACTCATGGAGAGTGTGTTTTGCCTTGCGTCCTTCTGCCTCTTTCCTTCCCTTTGCACGCCACACTAATGCTTTGCCTGGACACTAGTGGATTCTTAAAACATGTTGGTGACACATTAATACTATACCTTCCATTTTGTCTCTTTATAAATATCCAAATGAATGCCGACTTAAAATAAAACTCAGTTAGTAAAACCACTAAACAGCAAATGAAATAATGGTTTTGTATTTGGAGTATTAATCAAGTGCTTCTTGTGTTCTGCTTCTCCTCTGTGTCTTCCAAGGTGAAGAGGGAAAGAAGTGAAGAAAATGAACTTAATAGAAAGATTATTCAAAGAAGACATGTTTTTAAGTAACTTTATGTATGTGAGCTTAACTTGAGCCAATTACCATATCACTAGTAAACTGTCATCTCATTAGATGACTTACATTTAAAAAGTAGCTTTATTACTTTAAAACTGAGACATGGTTATTATTTAAAAATTTCAAATTATTAGAAAAGTAGAAAGGTTAATGTAAAAATAATCACATGGAATTCTCCCACCAAGAGGTAACTACTGTTAATGTATTGATGAAAACTCTTCCATATATCTCTCTAGGCATGTGCACATACACACATACTTACATAACAACTCATGTTATATAATTGGGATCACACTATACAAACTATTCTTTATGTATATACTTCAAAGTAATAATAATAATATATATATTTATACAGATTTTGAACATTCATTCAAGACAAAAAGATTCTATGTTATGACTTTTAATGGATGCAGGGTATATCCTTGTTTATTTCATAATTTAGTTAATGTTTGAGAGAAACAACATTTATTTTTATTTTTTCTGTCTTTCCTTTCTCTTTTTCTTCCCTTCTTCCCTCCTTTCCTCACTTCTTACTTCTTTTCTTCTCTCCTTTCTCTCTTCCTTCCTGCCCAGGGGCCTACAAAATGGTCTCTAGAAAGGGCATATGAATTGAAATTCTCATCAACAAACAATGTGTCTGATTTTCTATTCCCTTTTCAATATGGATTTTGATGTTATTCATCTTTGCCAATCTACTAGTGTGATATATGGCTGATTTTATTTGCCTTTCTTGATTATAAGTCAAAAATAACATCTTTTATGATTGCTACCCATTTTAAAGTTTTTCTTTTGGGTAATTGCCTGTTCTTGTTGTATTACATGTTTTCATTTTAAATAATTTGTTGGAACTCTTTGAATAATCTTGAATCTTGAATAATAACCTTACAAATGTTATTTCACAGTTTGTATTTTATTTTAAAAATATTTTCAATATGCATTATTTTCTTCCTTTAATGAAGTGTTAGGTGGTCAATTTATTAGTGTTTTCGTTTTATGTGTCTGAGTTTTTTTGATAGCTAAAAGATATTCCTCATTGTGCAATTATTTAAAATAAAAAACTCCATCCAAATTTCAGTCAGCAATTTTATATCTTTCTCTAAATGAAAAAAGTGGCATCCCAGCATTATCATTTCCCCTTCAAATGAATAGCTTATTATTCCAAACATTTGGCAATATTTTTCCACCAACTTATTTTTCCACCAGCTTATTGCCTCAATGACTTTGAACAATAATTGAAAATATTTTTGAACTCTATTTTGCCAAGTTTTCAAAATTATTTATTTGGAAATTTGAATGGTCATTTGAATAAATTTGTAAAAGATTTTAATTGAATGCTATAAAGGAATTAACTTCAAAAGATTTATTTTTTACAGTGTAATAATATCTATTCAAAAGATTGTTTTTTTTTTCATTTATTTATTTGCTTTTTTCCTGTTGTACCCTTTAGTAGAGTGGTACAGGCTTACTAATAATTTTGCCAATTTATTAAGATGATATCTTTGTGAAATTTCTTTGATAATAACTGAGAAAGAGTATCTTTTTGTATTACTGTTGATCACTTTCTGTTTTCTTTGGGAATTTGCTCATTTATGTCTTTTGAATTAAAAAATAATTTGTAACAAATTTTTGCATATTAAGTCTAGCAACTCACTGTCATGTTTTGTAAATATTATTGCCCTATTTGATTTTTGTTTTTTAAATATGTTTATAGTGGTCGTATTTCCCCATTATAAGGAAGTGTTTAATTTTATGTGCTCAACTTATCAGTCTTGATTTTTATGACCAAAAAAATTAAGTTTAATCTGTATGGTCAGACCTTTAGATTTTAGCCATTCTAGTGGATATGTAATGGTGGGTTCTCATGGTGGCTTTAATTTGCATGTCTCTAATGAATAATGATGTTAAGCATCTGTTTATGTGTTTATTTCCCATCTGTATATCTTTGGTGAAGTGTGTGTTCAAATATTTTGCTCAGTTTTTATTGAGCTGTTTGTCTTCCTATGATTGAGTTGTACCGCTTTATTATATGTTCTAGGTACAAGCTCTTTATTGAGTATATTTTGCAAATATTTTCTCTCAGCCTGTGGCTTTTCATTTTCATTGCATTATTCTTCGAAGAAGAAAAGACTTTAATTTTTAAATCCAATTTATACATTTCTTTATTTAATGGATTGTGAGTTTTGGTGTCCTACTTAAAAAATCTTTGCCAAGCAGAAGGTCTCTAACATTGTCTATGTTTCATGCTATAAATTTTTTTTTTTTTATTTTGGTATATTATGGGGGTACAGATTTTAAGGTTTCAATAAATGCCCATTTCCCCCCCTCCCCCCACATCCCCCAGATGGTGCACATCTCACTCACTATGTATGTATATACCCGCCCCCCCCCCCCCCCACCTGCCCAATACCCTATTACTGTAGCACCTATGTGTCCACTTAGGTGCTACTCAGTTAATACCAGTTTGCTGGAGAATATATCTGGTGCTTGTTTTTCCATTCTTGGGATACTTCACTTAGTAGTATGGGTTCCAGCTCTAACCAGGAAAATATAAGGTGTGCTATATCACCATTGTTTCTTAGAGCTGAATAGTACTCCATGGTGTACATATACCACATTTTATTAATCCATTCTTTGATTGATGGGCACTTGGGCTGTTTCCACAGCCTTGCAATTATGAATTGTGCTGCTATAAACATTCGAGTGCAGGTGTCTTTTTTGTAGAGTGTCACTGGATCATTTGGGTAGATGCCCAGCAATGGGATTGCTGGATCAAACGGTAGATTCACTTGTATCGCTTTAAGGTATCTCCATATTGCTTTCCACAGGCTATAAATTTTATAATTTCATCTCTTGCATTTGTTTCTGTGTTCTTTCTTAGTTAATTTTACATATTTTGTGAGTTAAAAACAGAATTTTGTCTCTTTTTTGCTCATAGTTATCTAATTAATTTTTCTAGACCATTTGCTGAAAAGATTATTCTTTTCCCCATTAAATAGCCTTGGAACTTCATCCATAGTCAATTGACTATATGTGTTGGGGTCTATTTCTGGGTTCTATTCTCTCTCACTGATCTTTATGTCTATGTTTATGTCAACACCATACTGTCTTGATTACTATAGCTTTATAATACATCTTGAAATCAGGTAGTGTAAGTCCTCTAACTTTGTTCTTTTGAAAAACTATTTTAAGACTTTTTCAATTCCATGTAAATTTTGGAATCAGTATGTCAGTTTCTACAAAAAACCTGCTAGAATTATATCAATTTACATATTGTATAAGAATCTTACAACCATATTACTTCTATATACTTTTCCTGGCCTTTGTGCTATTTTTGTTATACACTTTACTTATACATACATAATATATTTCCAATACATTTTACTGTTTTTGCTTTAAACATCTTTTAAGATGATTTGGAAAAATAAGAAAAATATCTTTTATATTTACTATTTCTCATATTCTCCATTTTTTTGCTTAGATCCATATTTTCTTGTGGTATCATTTTGCTCGAAGGACTTCCTTCGACATTTTTGATAGTATTGATCTGCTAGCCATGCATTCTTTCAGCTTTTGTACATATGAAAATGCCTTTATTTTGCCATTCATTTTGAAGCATATTTTCTCTGGCTATAGGATTCCAGGTTGATGTTTTCTGTTAGTACCTTAAAGTTGTTCTACTGTGTTGCTGGCTTACATTGTTTTCTGATATCTGATGTTATTATTTTTCCTCCATAAATAATACATCTTTTTCTCTTTATGCTTTTAAGATTTTCTCTTTTTCTACTGTTTTGAAACAAATTGATTATAATGAGCTGAGCTCTGATGTCATTTTCTTCATTTTCCTTGTGCTTGGGTTTGTTGAGACTTTTGAAACTAGGTTGGTAGTTTTCATCAAATTTGAAGAATACTTTGCCATTATTTTTCAAATTTTGGGTTTTCTCCCCTGTCTCTTATCTTTCTGGGACTCCATATCAATGTATATTCAAATAATTGAGGTTACATTACACTTTCCTCAACCTTCTTGAACATATGGAATATATTTATAATTGCAGTTTATTATCTTTTCTACTCATTATGTTATCTTTATCATTTCTAGGTCTGTTTTT